ACACCGTAAGGTATGTTTCCCACTGAGCATCCATAGGGAAAAGTCACTTAGCAACTGGATACCTGAGAATGGAAACAGACTGAGCTGGGGTCCAGTATCTAGGAGTTGTCCCCCGAGTTTTGGTGTTTCAAAGCCTGTTACTGGTTGGCATTACCAAGAGAGTGAGTGAAGACAGAGAAGGGGAGGAGTCCAAGGACCAAGCCCAAGGATGCCCCAATACTTAGAAGTTGGGGAGATGCGGAGACTGAGAAAGGAAGTCCATAAAGGAAGGGGGAAGGGCTGGGGATGTGGCTCAAGCGGTAGCGCGCTCGCCTGGCATGCATGTGGCCCGGGTTCGATCCTCAGCACCACATATAAACAAAGATGTTGTGTCTGCCAAAAACTAAAAAATAAATATTAAAATATTTTTTTAAAAAAAGGAAGGGGGGAAAAGTCAGCTGAGGGAGAGAGGAACCAGCTTCATTCCATGCCGCTAAGATTCCGGGGAAGGATGAGGACCTGACCATGGGATTTAGCCATGTCTCGACAAGAGCATGAGGCTTAGTCAGAACTCGCTTCCTGGAGGAGGGCAGGTCACCAGGGAGGATCTTCTGGAGGACGTTATAGGGTTATCTTGTTTTGTACTGGGGAACTGGATATTGAACCCAGGCGTGCTTTATTGCCAAGCCATATCCCCAGCCCTTTCAATTTTGTTTTATTTTGAGACAGTTGCCAAGGCTGGTCTTGAACTTGTGATCCTCCTGTCTCAGCCTCCCAAGTTACTGGGATCACAAGTGCGTGCCACTGCACAGAGCTGGAGCATAGAGTATGGAAAGCAAAAACCTAACTAGAATAACTTCAAGAGAGCATAAGAAGGGGGGAGAAATGGAGATAATGAATCACAGCCACTCTTCTAAGGAATTTTTCAATGAAGGGGTAAGAAGAAATGAACAGACACCAGAAGAAGAAACAGAGCCAAGGAGAGGTGTGTGTGTGTGAAGATGCTTCCTGTAGCGGGAAAACGAGGAAGATCCAGGACAGAGCAAAAGGCTGATGGCGGTGGAGAGAAGAGGTGGAGGTCAGTCCTTGGTGGCCAGCAGGGTGGATGAACTTGTAGAATCCAGACAGCAACTCAGTAATCTGTCCATTACGTCCACAGATGTACTCTGCATCTGTGGATGCAGATGTCTCAAGCAACACGGGGTGTCCTGGAAGAAAAGCACGTTCTAGCCTGGGTCCTGGGACTTGGCTTCCTCCCGTCTGCCACCCCAGGCAGGAGTAGACAGCCGTATCCCTTCACACCTGACTTCCTGGTGGCTTCTCCCTGTCCCATCTCTCTGACCAAGGGATAAAGCAGTCTTCAGGCCTCTGCTGCAGATGCAGGAACACAAGGGCAACCCCAGGGGAGGTCCTACCCATCCTGGAAACCCCTGCCCAAGGCCAGGGCAAAGACCGAGGGGCAGCCTGGGAGAAAGACGAGACTGGACCAGGGCCTGGGCTGGAAGAGATGCAGTGGCTTAGGGCCTACCACCCCCAGATGGCAGGTGTATGGCCTAAGGGGCGTGGAGGTGGCAGAGGCAGCTGCCAAGCCCTGGCGCAACACAATCTTGCCCTGAGGCAGGGGGATGGCCTAGATGGCCTCCCACACAGTCCCCTTCTCAAGGAGCAGAAATCTAGGGTGAGGCTTCAAGGACTTCAAGTCCTCAGAGCCTCTCTGAGGAATGGGGAGCTCTCCCTGCTCATTCCCCCAAAAGCAAAGGCCAGTTTAGGGGGTACCTCCTGATCTCAAGAGGAAAGGGCAGCCTCTGGCAGGGTCAGATAAACAGGACCTATGAGTGAAGTCACCAGGTCACTAGAGCAGAGTAACCCAAGTGCACATGCACACACACACTCACACACACACACACACCCTACACACCACCGCCTCACACACAGCCACACATGCACACATAACCTCCCCAACCACACACATCCAAACACACCCACTCATGCCGTCCACACTAACCCCAGAAACACACCGTCTCCCCCACACCCAACCTTCTGCGCACCCGGCATTTACTTTACAAATAGGAACGGTGTCTGCTGCACCCCAAGGCCTGGGAGAGGCCGCAGAGACCTGAGCCCTGAGCCTCTGCCCCTGGAGGTCCTCTATGAGAACACTGGGAAGAGTGCCTGCTGGGGCAGTGCCGAGGAAGGGGGTGAGGAAGCTTTGGACAGGGTGACCAGAGGAACCTGCCCGGTCCAGAGTCGGGAAAGCACAGTCCAGGCCGAGAGAACAGCAAAGGCAAAGGCCAGCACAGCTTGTTGGAGGAACAGAAAGAAGGCCACTGAGACTGGAGAGTCAGGATCAAAGGGATGGCGTGTGACCGGAGGTGAGGCGAGACTAGGTCATTTGCAACCTTATAGACCAACCTCAGGAGAGTGGGTACTAATCTAAAGGTAATGAGAAGTCACTGCAAGGTTTTCATAGGGGAGTGATATGATGCGGTTTATATCACTAGAAGAAACCACGGGAGACATTTTTATTTAAATATTCTCAGAGTGGCAAAGGCATTTCTAAATAAGATCAAACCCAGAGGGCATTAAAAAAAAAGATTAATGTATTTGACTACATAAAAATGTTTAATTCTGCTTGACAAAAACTCCATATATAACTTAAAATACAAATGTCAAACTGGAGAGAGGAAATTCTATTCCTATCTCAGACAGAGGACTGGTTTCCTTAATATATAAAGAGCTCCTAGGAAATCAGTAATAAAAAGGCAACCGTCTTTGTCCATTATAAATGGACAAAGAACAATTCACAGGAAAATAAATGAAAATGGCTTTTAAATGTATGAAAAGATGTTCAATCTCACTCCATGATAGGAGAAATGTAAAATAAAAGTATAATGAATTACCACCGGCAATGATCGTAAAGTTTGGGAACACTACAGTGACAAGGGTATAGAGAAACAAAAATTCTCATGTCCAAATTTTTAAATGAGCATATACCTTCAACACAAAAGTTCCACTACTAGGAAAGTATCCTATAAACAAAATTTTTAATGAATTCAATAATGTTTATTCAAGGATATTTGTTGCAATGGTGTTTGAGATAGAAAGGAAGACTAAAAACAGCCTTAATTTTCATTAAAAGAGGACTGATTAAATAGATTATAGAAAAATATACTATTTAGTTCTTTTACAAAAAGAAGAAGAGGAGGAGGAGGAAGAAGGAGGAGGAGGAGGAGGAGAAGAAGAATCTGCTCTTTACCTACGGGTAAGGGAAATGTCCAATATTTTTCAAATGAAAAAGGCAGAGTGCCCAATTACCTTCCTGGCATCCTTCCATAGATTAAGTGAAGGTTGTCGCCATAGTTGAAGGCGCACAGATGACTCAGGAAGGAAAAACATGAGGTGGGCAGCCCTCGCCACTCAGGTCTGGCCCTGGAAACATGCACATCATCAGTGGACAAATGGGAGTTAAAGTCCCCGGAGCTCATCTGAGAGAGAGAAGGGTCCTGGGACTTGCCTACCGAGAGCCCAGGACATGAAGGTTCCCTGGTGTGAGGACATCAGGAACGGGTGTCAAGGAAGCCCGGGAAAGAAATGCTCTGAGAAGAAAGGAGGGGCCAGTTTTTTCAGGTGCTTCTGAAGGTCGAAGAAGATGGAAACTGAGACATGGCTGTCAGGGTTGGCATCATGGAGATTCATGGTGGCCTTGACAAGCTGTTTTTAGTAATACAGTAGGGACAGGAACATTGCTCCGATGAGTTGGAACAGGACTAGGAGGTAAGGAGGTGGGAAGCAAGCTTCAAAACGGAGCAGAACAACAGGTGACAGGCAGCAGGTGGCAAAGTCATGGTACCCCCACCATCACACCCACACACCCTCAAAACACATCCGCACAGAACCACCCAGACCAGCCACTGTCGGATCTCAGCAGAGATTTTCAAGGGTCATGGCCACAGCGAGTAAAAGGTGGCCCCTGCCCTATAGCTGTGCCCTATATACAGGTACTCAACCCTGCTGAGACCTCCCAAGCTGGCTCTGTTACTTATTACCAGTGTGACCCTGAGCAAGTCACCCAACTTCTCTGTGTGTCAGTTTTCTCACTCACAGAAGCAGGAAGAATCACACCTGCTTCGTGTGCATGCTGAGAGTATGAAATAAGGCCTGTGGAGCAAAGCCTGGCACAGAGATGTTTCTGGGCCACTAATTTAGAGGTAGTCTTCTCACAAAATGAAGAGTGGCAGGGGGACCATAGTTGATGCATTACTTAGGAGGGTTTTTTTCCTGTTTTGTTTTGTTTTTGTTTTCCGGTGCTGATGATGGGACCCAGGTCTTCATGCAGGCCAAGCAAGCAGTCTGCCACTGCCACACTTCCCCAGCCCAGGGGCCATTTTTTAAATTACAAAGTGGTGCTGTTAATTATGCCAGGACCGCAGGCATAAACCAGTGCAAATCCGGGACAAATGCGATGTGCCGTTCCCATAGGGGCAGCCATCTCTGTCCAGACAGGGAGGACTCAGGCCTGAGGGTGACTAAGGATGACTAAGATTCAGGGATTCCCGGAGTCCGTAAGCCAGGGGGTTCCCAAGGAGTCCGGGACACCATGGGCTCTTGTTAGGTTCCTCATCATAGCAATAAGTCAATAAGAAAAGCATCTTTGTTCCCAGAGCCCAGGCCAGGTGCCACCCAGCCACAGGCCCCTGGCTCTCACCAGAGGGTGCAGGGCGCAGGTCTGACCCGGGGACAGGCTCTGCCCCTTGACTTAACTCCAGGCAAAGACCTCTCCATCCCGCCTTCACCCCCCACATCTCCCTTGCAGGCATAGGTCTCCCCGCAGCCCTTCCGCCGAGGGCACACAGTCTGGCCCCCACTGTGGCCCTCCAAAGTGCAGCTGGCTCCGTCCACGCTGTCATCGGGGACCCGTGGGGGGGTGGGGGCCGGCTTCCTGGAGTGTCCTCACGCAGGGTTGGGGTCTTGCGCCGGGCGGGGACCAGGATGGGCAGGGCACTGGCACAGAATCCGTGGTACCGCGCGGGGGCGAGTCAAGATTGCAGCGTGTCCCACGGCCGCGGCGCTTAACAGTTTGCCGAGGGCCTCACGCCTCGAATCTCATTGGCGCCTTTGCCACAGCCCTGCCCATGGCCACCGACGCCCCCATTCCACGGGTGAGCAAACCGAGGCCGGGCTGAGCCGCGAGCTCTTCGGGAGCGTGCCCGGGGCGCGTGCAGCGCAGGGATTAGAACCCGGGGCCGCCTGCGGGCGGCTGAGGCTCCGCCCCCGACCCTGGACCCTCCCTCCTCGACCTTGGACCCTCCCTCCTCGACCTTGGACCCTCCCTCCCCGCCGCGCGCCTCCGAGACCTCAGAGCGGCGCTGGGCCTCCCTCGGGCCTCCTCTGCTGCGGGCCTCGGGGACGCGGGGCCAGGCCCCAAGGTGGCCGCGCTGCTGACGGTAAGAGCGGGACAGGGGCGGTCCCCGGGGGTGCGAGTGCTCCCGTGCGCTCCCCTGCGGCGGGGCTGGGGGCAGGACGCGAACAGGCGGCAGAGGGAGAGACACCCCAACCTGCCTCCGCCTGCTCGCCCCTCGGTTCTTGGCGGGGTGACCGTTCCAGCTGCTGGAAGGTTCCTGGACCGACACCACCACCCCAGAACCACAAGCTCCCGAGCTGCCCGGAATGAAGGGAAACGGGTGGGAAGGGAAGGGGCTTCTGTCTTTGGAGGGCATCGTAGGGGGGGTGGCCAGCAAAAGCTGGACGCGGTCCCATCTCCGGAGCTGGGATCAGTAGGCACTCAGTAGACTGTGCTGGGAGCTAGTGGTGGGGGACTGCAGGGGTCCAGAACCGGATCCGCCAGTCCACAGCGCGGTCTGAGAGGGAAATTCTTTCCCCCTGAGTCGCCTCCCTCGGGTGTGTCTGGCGGGCGGGACTGGGCCCGAGCACCTGGAAGGTGAAGGTGGGGGCCCAGGAGGCAGCGGTGGAGGGCTTCAGGTGGAAGCAGCTCTTGGGGCTCCTCTTCTCCCGGGCTAGCAGGTGATGCTCCCCTCTCTACCTCAGCATCCTGAACTCTCCCCAGGTGAGTGGCGATCAGGGAGGGAACCTTCTCTTGGGATTCTTACAACAGTCCAAGAAAATAGGACTTTTTTCCCTTTGGAGGTAAAGAAACGGCCAATTATATTAGAGAACTCTTGGGCCACTTTCAGCTAGTAAATGGCAGAGCTGAGGTCTGATTGCAGGCACGACTTTATGGTCACTGCATGGTTCACAGTCCTCCCCAAAAGCCAGGCTTGGGGCGATGAGAGTGGGGCACAGAGGAGGGTCTCCAGATTTGAGGTCTTCCCAGTCACCCCAGCTGTGGGAGATTGTGCTTCCAAGGGGCAGGTGGTCAGGAGGGTGATGCAGGAAGGGGTCCTCACCCTCCCTCTCTCCTGTCCAGGCCCACGCAGCTCCTGCTGAGCCTTCCCACCCCCTCTCTGAGAACTCAGCATTCTCTTGGAGCATTTAGTGAGTGCCTACTGTATGCTAGGCACTAATCATGAAGCCCTGAACAAAACGGAGTTGACATTTTAACTGGGGCACCAGACAATAAATACAAACAACAACAAAAAAATGATAAATACTTGAATTTCAAGTGGTAATTAAGAACTGTGAATAAAAGAAAGGGGGTAGGAGCAGGTTCAGATCCAAGGTCATCCCAAGAAGTCCTAATGTTTGAACAGAAGTAAATGAGAAGGGTCCAGCTATGTGGGGTTCTGGAGGGAGAGCATTCCAGGTAGAGGAATTCATGTAAAGGCCAGAGGCCTCAGTGCAGCCGGAGTAGGGAGAGGCAGAGCAAGCGAGTGGGAGAAGACAGTGAAGATGTAGAATCCGGGGTTCAGTTCTAAACAGTGAGAAGCTAGTGGGGGTTCTAAGCAGGTGGCATGAGCATGACTGAATGGACTCAGGGGCGCACAAGCAGTAGCCTCAAGGCCAGTGAGGCGGCCCCGGCAGTGATGTAGATAAATAAGAGTGACAGTGGCTCAGAGCAAGGCAGAGGCCCACACATGCTCAGAGCACAGGCCCAGCTCCAGGGCGCTCACATGTGCACGCAGGTCCACACAAGCACCTGAAGAGGTGTCTGCTCTCACACCCATGGCAATACAAGGTACACTCAGTGACTCACCCAGCCACACCCTGTGAGTCACTCCAGGGCTGGGAGAAGGATGTGTGATTTAAGGACAGACCAAAGCACACCTCCTCACCACGAAGCCCTGGCAACCAGCATGGCTCAGGGTGGCCGGGACATCCCCAGGCCCAGCACGGGGAGGAGGGGATTGTCTCTACAGAGTCCCTGGATCTGGTGACTACCAGGAGCAAAGCCATAACCCTCCATGTGCACTCAACCCAAAATGGTTCCCATCGTCACTGCCCACTGGCCAGGAGAACTTGGAGGCTCTGGCTCCTCTCCCAGACTTCGTTTCCTCTCTAGAGATTGGGACTCATAAAACCCAACTTCACAGGCTGATGTGGAGGCATGGACAAGGTGACAGGCAGGTGTGCAGCACAGAGGGAGGGGAAAGGTGGAGAGTACAGGCCCTAGCAGGACAGCCTGGCCTTGAGTCAGGCTTAAGTGAGGGACTTGACCTCTCGGCCCTTCACAGTAATAAATAGCTGGCATTTCATGAACATTTACCATGTAGTGTGTGCCTTGCAATTTTATGTCATGTGATTATCAGCTTTTCATCTGTAAATGGGGAGCAGAGTCTATCTGCCCCGTGGGGTCATTATAGGATTAAGTGAGCTTCTGCACACGGGGTGGTTAGCTTCATAATTGGCTCATAGTAAATGCTCAGTGAATGGTCACTGTTAGCAACAAGCACACATTCCCTTCTGCTGGCTTACTAGCTCTGACTGTGAGCAGGTTACTTGTCATTGTATCTCAGTTTCCTATAGGAAAGGGAGGAATAACATGGGAGGAATAATAGTCCCAATCTCAAAGGAACACTTTGATGATTGAACTTGTCTGTCCACATCAAGAACTCAGAACAATGCCTGGCACCTAGTAAATGTTCAATAAATGTTCATTAACATGACAGTTTTTCCAATCATTCCCTCAGGTGGGTGCGGTCCCCCTTGTCCCCACCAGGCACCATGGACTGGAAGACGTTCCAGGGCCTTCTGAGTGGCGTGAACAAGTACTCCACAGCATTTGGGCGCATCTGGCTGTCAGTGGTATTCGTCTTCCGGGTGCTGGTGTACGTGGTGGCCGCAGAGCGCGTCTGGGGTGACGAGCAGAAGGACTTTGACTGCAACACCAAGCAGCCCGGCTGCACCAACGTGTGTTATGACTACTTCTTTCCCATCTCCAACATCCGCCTGTGGGCCCTGCAGCTCATCTTCGTCACCTGTCCCTCGCTGCTGGTCATCCTGCACGTCGCCTACCGGGAGGAGCGGGAGCGGCGGCACCGCCAGAAGCACGGGGACCAGTGTGCCAAGCTGTACAGCAACACCGGCAAGAAGCACGGGGGCCTGTGGTGGACCTACCTGTTCAGCCTCATCTTCAAGCTCACTATCGAGTTCCTCTTCCTGTACGTGCTGCACACGCTCTGGCATGGCTTCGGCATGCCGCGCCTGGTGCAGTGTGTCAGCGTGGCGCCCTGCCCCAACACCGTGGACTGCTACATCGCGCGGCCCACCGAGAAGAAGGTCTTCACCTACTTCATGGTGGGCGCCTCCGCTGTCTGCATCGTACTCACCATCTGTGAGATCTGCTACCTCATCTTCCACAGGGTCCTGCGAGGCTTGCACAAGGACAAACCCACAAGGAGCCTCCCATCCTCCAGCAGCCGGGCCTCCACCTGCCGCTGCCACCACAAGTTGGTGGAGGCTGGAGAGCTGGGTCCCAACCCAGATGATGACACGCTGCAGGCTTCGGCACCCAAACTGAGCCCCGTCTGACCACCGTCTGGGGGCGAGGTGAGAGGGGTTGCATGGTGAAGAGGTCCTGTAGGTGCTGGGAACTCCCACTTTGAACTCACCAAGCTCTCCAGTTTCATTTGGGGCAGTTATTTTTGCTGCTGGGTACTGTGCTGTCCACCTGGATGTAGCTCACACTGCACACCCCCACGGAGGAGGCAGACATTTAAACAAGCAAATGAACCTAATATAAGCATGCCGGGGAGCAGGGCTCTTTCCTGACCCCTAAGGGGACAGTCAAGCCAGGCTTCCCTAAGGGTATAGCACTAGAGGGGTGAGGCATGCTCCCAACGGTGGCCTGGGTGCCGCCAGAGGAGGGATGTTTGCCCCAGGCTGGGTGCACCAGGATCCCTCTGGAGAAGCCACCAGGCTCCACAGGTGGGAAGGTCTCCAGCACAGGAAGTCTGCAGGGGGGTGTGGGAAGAGGCAACAGTTCTAGACACCCAGGGACCCTCCTCCCTCAGCAGCATCCCCTTGCCCCCAAACCTTCCCCCAGCCTCAGTCAGCGGTGCTCTTGTCTTCCTCCCCAGGTGTTCAGCCTGGTGCCCTCTGTCCCCAGGAACTCAGGTGGATATGCCAATAGGAACACCCGCAAGGCAGCTCCTTGAAATCAATAAAGCTGTGTTTTATACAGATTGGCTCCATACTTGGTACTGCCACTCACAGCTCCCTGACAGCAGGGAAGAGCCGCGTGGCTGGTGGGTAAAGCTAGGGTGGAGATGGCTGGGGTCAGGCAGAGCTGGGGTTGACAGGCTGGAGCCAGGGAACCTGATACACATGTTGGTATTCTAGCCGTGGACACAAGAGGGCGCTGTCCTCCCTCTACAACCGCTCCTCTAACCTTCAGAATTAGACTCTGCCCTGAAGACACTCAATCACTGTGCTTTTCATTAGGCAAACCACACTCCCTCCTCCTTTGTCACCCAATCACTGCCATCACAACCTGCGTCCCCACCCTGAGTACACACAATCCCTGCCTTTCACACTCATAACAGGCCTGCATGTAGTCCAAGCCTCGCCCAGCAGTTCATTCAGCCTCTTCCATTTTCCCCACACCAGACCTTACCAGGACTCTGTGACTGCACAGGGGAGTAGGATCAGAGCCTGAGGGACACAGAAACAAACTCACCTGCTCTGCCCCCCCCGCCCCCCCCCCCCGTCGGATGGCTCACAGCCCCACTTCCAGCATTGACTGACCGGGCATTCAGAGGACACCAACACCCCAGGCCAGACCGGAATGGGAAGCAAAAGGGGGTACAAGGATAAACCACCCCAGAGGAACATTTAGTGACCATCAAGGCCAAGGTCAGGAGCCAGAAAAGCCAGAGCCAGTGCAAGCAGAGGCCAGGGCACTGTGGAGACAGGCTGTGGCTCACTTTTGCTGTCCCATGTGGCCCTGGCAGGCGGATGAGCCAGCTGAGTTTAAAGGGCCCAGGGCTGGGCTACACCGTTCACCACACTCCCAGGACTGATCGTTACCGCTTCACAAGCAAACCTTGGACTGAGCTCTCAGGACCTTAGTCTTGGCATCCATACAAAAAGGAACTGGGTCCCAGCAGAAAACAGATGGTCCATTCAAACCAGGTAGCTTTAAGGAGTTTCCAAGAAAGACTGTTTTCAAAGATGTGGACATGATTAAGGGAACCCACAAGGGATACTGCAGTACCTTGGGGCTAGCAGCAGGGTAACATCAGCCAGCAGCTAAGAGATGCATCCCACAACAGCAACCAGACAAATCCCTCCTGCTCTCCCACCTCCTGTTTGCCTGCCAGTGGCTCCCACTGACCCAGGAGAAATCAGAGGGGAAGGGAGCCTGTGAAACAGCCAATACAGGTCAAGGTCCCAGGCACAGCAGGGTGGAGAGTAGCTCTCAGGGGCAGGGAGACTTTACTCAACACAGCACTTGGGACAGTGTGTACCAGTAGAATTGTTATAGGGATCAAAGGAGACACTGTAGATGAAACATAAGCATGATGTGTCCCATAAATACCTGTGTGTGCCAGTGCTCAGGAACATCTCTGCCTGATGCTCAGGCTACATGGTAGGTCAGGACTAGAGGGTCATAAAGTCTCTGAGAGGCGTGATCTTCGCCTACGTGCTGCTGTGCATTCCAGTATCTTCCTGGGTGGTTCCAGCTGCCTGGTCAAGGGTGGCCTGGAAGCCAAAGCAACCAGAAAACATAATTGGCCCTCTGAGTAGGACCTGAGGGCTCGACATGGGCTGAACTTGCAGTCCTGGCCACATTTCTCCAGGATGCAGGCCAAGACCACAAAGGAAGGAACATTCCAGCTTTGCACATCCCATCTTTGGCCTGAGAGCTGTTCTGAGCAAAGCAGCTCACTGACTTCATCCAGCACGGGTGGGGCTACTGTTCACCAGAATCCCCACAAGGGACTTGCTGTCACCACAAGGTGGCTCTCATGTCCCTTTGGTGTTCTCTTCTGAGAATACACCTCTACCTCCCTGTCCCCCACCATACCAGGATTCACTGCAAGTCTCCCTAAATTGTGCATATGATGGATGGAGACGGCACATAGTCTGTAAGTCCACATCTACTGCACACAGTCACGGCCACCCTGCAGCCCAAGGTAAACAGGAGATCGTTTTGTCTGCATTCACCCTGGTCAAAATCCCCCAATGCCATATGTTGAAATCCTGTCCTCCAGTGTGATGTATTAAGCAGTAGGGACTTTGGGAGATGGTCAGGTCATGAAGGTGGAGCCCTCTTGAGTGAGTTTAGTGCCCTTATCATGAGAGAGGATCCAATGAGAAGGTCACCATCTGCAAACCATGAAGAGGGGCCTCACCAAGAACCCGACCATGCTGGTACCCGATCTCAGATTTCCAGTCTCCAGATCTGTGGGAAAGAAGTGGCTTTGTTCAAGCTGCCCAGGCTCTGGAACTCTGTTATAGGGACCCACGTGACTAAGACACCCTGTCACCTCTCACCTGGATTTTGACTTCCATCTCTCTGCTGCCTGCCCCGACTCTGGGAGGCAAACTCTGAGAAGAGGTGGGGAGTGCAGAGAGAGTGCTGGGGAGTTACCCCTGCACGTGGGAAACGGAGAGCAGGATAGAGCCACAAGATCCACCACAGGAGCTCTGAAGCTAAGACTGGTCATGAGGCGTCCTGCACTAGGCAGAAATGGCTGGGCCCTCAACCACCCCAGGGCTCCATTATTGCCCAAGCTCAGCCCAAGAAGCACCGGGCCATCTGGACAGCAGATGCAGACCTGAAAGTGCTAGCCGTTGGAGGCCAGCTGACCAGACTCCACGCTGGGCAGAGAGTGGGAGATGTCTATTTGCCACCCACCCTCATAGTCTCTTCCTAGCCCAGTAGCCAGGGGGATCCTGTCAAAATCTAAGCTAGATAAAACCTACAAAGGCCTCTTATTTACGCAAGGCCTACAAGATCTGCCCCACCCAACCTCCACTGCCTCCACCCCACAAGTGCTTTTCTGTCCTCACCTCTCCTTGGTCACCCACTCCAACCACATCTTGGCTGTTCCTCAAGCAGGACAATCTCCTGCCTCAGGGCTTTTGCATGTTCAGTTCCTCAAAGAGCCACAGCACTTCCTCTCTTCCTTCACAGCTCACCTCCCATGTCGGCTGCTTAGTGCAAATCTCTCTCTTCTATCTGAGGGTGAAACTGGCCAACCTTGCACTTTCAAGCCTTTTTACCTGACCCATAGCACAGATCACTAACATGTCCCAATTTTATTTGTTTGTCGTCCCCCAGCCGGAATGTGAACTCCTTAAGGACGGGGATTTGTGTGGGTCCCCTGTTGAGTCTCCAGTGTCTAGGAGAGTGTCTAGGACAATGCCACTGCACCTGGGAGGTGCTCAGTATATATCTGTTGTCTGGTGTGCTGCTAGGTGCTGGGATATAAGTGAGACCTGGCCACCTGCCCTCAAGGGGCTCACAATCTAATGGGAGCAATATAAAGAAAAAGGAGTTGTTTGATGGGTATAGAATTTCAATCTTGCAAAATGAAAGGATCTGGAGATCTGTTGCACAACAATGTGAATATACTCAATATCATTGGAATGTGATTTTTTTTTTTTTTTTTGGTACCAGGGATTGAAGCCTGGGGTGGGGGATGGGAGGCTTAACCACTGAGCCACATCCCCAGCCCCTCTTATTTTTTTTTAATTTTGAGACAGGGTCTCACTCAGTTGCTTAGGGACTTGCTAAATTGCTGAGGCTGGCTCTTTGAACTTGGGATCCTCCTGCCTCAGCCTCCCTAACTACTGGGATTATAGGCAGGAGCCTATAATTTTGTACCTGGTGCAATTAAAATTTTTAAGATGGCAAATTTTATGTTTTTTTTTTTTAAAGAGAGAGAGAGAGAGAGAAGTTTTTAATATTTATTTTTCAGTTCTTGGCGGACACAACATCTTTGTTTGTATGTGGTGCTGAGGATCGAACCCGGGCCGCACGCATGCCAGGCGAGCGCGCTACCGCTTGAGCCACATCCCCAGCCCAAATTTTATGTTTTAACCACAATTAAAAAAAAAAAAAACAATAACAGCAGCAATGGACCACAAGGCAGTACCTGAGCCACTGAGCACACACAGGTACACCTAACCCAGGGGCAGCTAGCGAGCAGATTGCTGGGAAAAGTGACATCTGAGCAAACACCTGAAAGACTGGGAGTCTTCCGGAAGGAGTCAGGATCAAGTTCATGTTCCCCAGAGTCAAAGAATGAACAATGCATACAAAGGAAGCGAGTGAGCAGGAATTTTATTTTAAAGGAAGGTGAAAGAAATACTCAGAACTAAGCACAGTGCACCTGGGAGAAGGAAGATCGCCATCTAAGTCTTACAGCTCCTCCTTTGGAAGGCACATGTGAAGTTGATGAGCTCTTCCTGATTGGTTCTTTTGCTGCTGTTGTTCTAATTAGTGATACATGACAAAGGAGGATGCATTTTGACACATCATACATAAATGCAGTATAACTTCCTGTTCATCTGGTTGTACATGATGTAAAGTCACACAGGTCATGTAATCATATATGCACATAGGGTCATGAGGTCCAATTCAGCTATCCTTCCTACCTGTATGCCCCCTACCCTCCCTTCGATCCCCTCTATCTAGTTCTCTATTCTTCCCCACCACTGTCACCTTATTGTGAATTAGCATCCACATATCAGAGAAAACATTTGGCCTTTGGTTCTTTGGGGATTGGCTTATTTCACTTAGCATGATGTTCTCCAGTTCCATCCATTTACCAGCAAATGCCATCATTTCATTCTTCTTTAAGGCTGAGTTTTTTATATATATATATATATATATATATATATATATATATATATATATATCTCCCACAGTTTATTTATCTTGATTGGTTCTTGATATTTCAATTGTTCCACTTGCGAGAGTGCAGGCCGGAAGCACATGTTGGAGCATGTTAAAATAGCTGTTCTCATGTCTGCCCTCCCGTCGACCTTTACCATTCCTTCCCTACTCTCCACTGCCTATCTTTTTCTATCTCAGTAGGGACCCGCATGTGAGGGTGCTCCAGGCAGTGGGAACAGCATGGACGAAGACAAGCGGTCACAGAGAAACTCAAATAATTAGATAAGCCTGGGCAATGGAGGGCATGAGGGAAAGGAGTGGAAATGGAGAAGGGGTCGAGGCCTGGATGGGGGAGAACATAAGCCTCACCTGGAAGACAGTGGGGAGCCATGGGAAAGATTTAAACCAGGCAACATTATGGTCAATTCTAGGCAAGGGTGGAGGCTGAGGGGAGGGGTGGAGCTAGAGGCCAGGAGACCGGTTGGAAGGCTGCTGGAGAGTTGGGAGGGCCAGAGGTAAGGAGGATGTGTAGGGTTCTAGGAATGTTTCCCTCACAGAAATGTCCACAGTTCTGGACAGTGTTGTTTTGGCTGGTTCCAGCTCCTTCTTCCTCTGGGGAAGGGACCAGGTTACTGAAGCCCTGACCTCTAGGACCCCTAAGGAAGGGGTCAGAGCAGGGTGAGGGCAGCTTTGACATCACCCCATTCACCCACTTTCCCCTCCTTCCCCTTCCATTGGGTTAGGAAGGCCTCAGGAGAGCCAGGCACAGCCGCAGCGGAGAACACTGCAGCAGAGGCAGGGAGGCGTGGCGAGAGCCAGTCTCTAGGG